CGGCCCTGCAGAAACTGGAGGAAGCTGAGAAGGCGGCTGATGAGAGCGAGAGGTGCGATGGGATGAGGCAGTGGGGGTGGCATTGGGTCACCGTGGACAGGCAGCCCCCTTGGTTTCGCAGTGGGGTCCCTCTAAAGCGACCTTATGGGGTGTGCGTTGGTTTTCATGCAGACCACAAAGGGAGAGAGAGAAGCCACAATGCAGAGAAGTCTCCCAGACAGCAGGCTTCCTTAAAAAAAAATTCCAGGGCACCTGTAAAATCATGAAAATAAGTCATCTGGTGTTTAAACAAATACCAGGCTGTTACCAAAGCCAGAGGGTGCTTGGAGCCTGCTTTCTGTCCCAGAATAAACTTCCACGCTCAGGGAATGAACAGGAAGCCAGGAGGGGACATCTCTGTGAACCAAAGTCAGCTTTGGAGAACAAACCAGCCTCATTAAAAAACCCAGTCCTGCAAATTTTGTTGCCCCATCCTTGGAGCAAGATGCCTTCAGGACGTGCCTGGTTGAGAGGCACCGGAGCCCTATCTCCTTGCTCTTGAACAGTGCCCTGGGACCAGCTCCCCTGCTTTGACTGTGTGCAGGAGCATCCGTGGGGTGCCACTAGCGTGACCATACTGTGTGGGGTGTCGGCGAGTTCCAGCATCCCTAGGCGAGCTCCCTGGTCTCTGGAGCTGACAGTGGACAGGCAAGAGGTGCGTGTGGCGCCTCAACCCACGGCAGTAACATCTTTTGGTTTGGGCTTTCCGCAGAGGCATGAAGGTCATCGAAAACAGGGCCATGAAGGACGAGGAGAAGATGGAGCTCCAGGAAATGCAGCTGAAGGAGGCGAAGCACATAGCGGAGGAGGCTGACCGCAAATACGAGGAGGTGCATGCCCACACACATACCCCCTTCCCCCTGTCCTGAACCCCTAACAGCACCTGGGGTGCCTCCTCGTATCCCTGTGCCCCCACGAGGCAGGCGTGGAGCCAACATGTGGCTCTTGCTACCGACAACAGGTTGCCCGCAAGCTGGTTGTCCTTGAGGGAGAGCTGGAGCGCTCGGAGGAGAGGGCAGAAGTGGCAGAGAGGTGAGCGGGGCTCCGGGTGGGCAGCGCGCAGGTGTCCCACGTGTCCTTGTCCCACATCCCTGGCAGTTAGGAAGGGGATGTCTGTGTAGGGATGGGCATGACCCTCCCTGGGAGTGGCAGGCTCTGCCATCGGGGTGGTCCCTGGGCTTGCAGGCTGAGGGTGCGGGGATGCCAGCCCTCCAGCAGCACATCCGCTGTCCCCCCCCGGGGTACCCCTCTTCCACCCCAGCCGAGTGAGACAGTTGGAAGAAGAACTGCGGACCATGGACCAGACTCTCAAATCCCTCATTGCCTCAGAGGAAGAGGTACTGGGGCGGGGGCGCGGGGTGACGCGCAGCGGCCCCCCTCTCTCTGTCGCTGTCTCTTGAACCGTGCAAGCCACGTCTCTCCTTTCTGCACCGCTGCCTCCACCACCGACCTCCCCTCGCCTCCCCCTCTGGCGGGTTCAGGCTGGGCAAGTTCCTCCATCCCTCTGTGCCTGCTCTCCTCCATGAGCCGGCGGGAGGCCGGCCGGGGGGGATGCACGGGATGTCCGTGCAAGGAAGCGCAAAGAATGGATGAACGGATGCGTCCCAGCAGCTCCCACTCGCAGCAGCTCTGCTCCTTCTCCACCCACGCTGAGTTTTCCCCTCTCTCAACTTGTTTTCTCTCTTTCTTTCCTCTTTCCCCATGCCCACTCTTTCT